GATGTAGTCAAACATCATAAGAGAACTGGGCCCGAGTTTGAGGCCCACAGAAGCGGATGAAAGCTTTTAAATGTTTCATTTTCTTTTCTCGAGATATGAAGCTTTCAAGCTTAGTAAAAAAAAAAAAAGCTTTGCAGTTTTTTGACCTCTCTTTAAGGTGCGGTTCAATTTGAAAGGAAAAGATCTTCCTTTTCTGCTCATTTGTGTTAACACTGATTCGAGGGTCAAGTTCGCCTCTCATTACAATTCTTTCTTTCCGCTTCCTGGTGAATCCGTCGTTTTAACAGTTTTTGATACACTCCACTTCTAAAAGACCTGAACATGTCTGTTGCTTCATTAACTAAGATTTTGTAATGAATATCACGCTTGGAAAACTGGCTCAGCGTCGGTTCTTTCAAAAGTTTTGTTTTAGAAACGAACGAGACTGAATTGAAAACTGTCAATAATAGAAATGGTCCTAAAAGGAAAGTACAATAAGAGCTGTTCTTTAACCAAAATTTAAACCCAAAGTTTGATATGATCCACGTAAAATCTTCAGTTATTGGAATTAGATTGAGGTTTGGAGTGATATACTTTGAGGGGGGCAACCGATATTTCCATTCAAAATTAATTAAACAGATGTGCCAATCTGTATGCCGAAAAAGATCTGATGTAGATCAATTTTGGAGGAGAGCCTGTCGGGCTTCTGATTCTGCTGTTGCACATGAAGTGGCTAAGGAAAAATACCTTTCTACCCTGATAGGATTCTTGCCTATTCCAAGTTATTTTCCTCAAGCTTTTGTCAGACGGTATCAATAATTCATGATAATTAACTTAAATCTCAATAGCCATTCTTTCTTAGTTCTTGCAACATCCAAATAATACATTTTATGTTAGCAAGTTAAAAACACTGATAAGTTGGCCATTAAAAAACCAAACAAAAAGTAGGTCTAAGAGATGTTTATTGCACACTTGACAACTTGCTATAATTAACACTATTTCTCGAAAAGATACAGCAGTAGACTTTCGATCATATGACTTTGTTTTAACACAATAAAGCTCTGTTGTTAATAGCATCCGTTGAGTCCTAAGTTTCATACATTATTACATCACATTATGATTATAAACGTTCAAGAAAGCCAAACAATACCATGCAGTAAAACTGGAAAGTGATATTTCGATGCAATGCTCCTGAGTAGTCCTATATTTGCGCGAGATCGTCGTACACGTCGTAAGCCAGGCCCACCCTCAAAACTCTCCAGATAATTTGGCATTGGACAAACATTCAAACCAAGAAGAGTACTCGCCTATTATGAATTTTGGGCATTAGCAATTTTGTGGTAAGTTAATTTTGCGCTGTGGTAAGTTAAGGGCTTGTTGGAGCTGGAGGCTTCAAAAGAGCAACTCAGAATTCTCATTTTTATGTCAGACAAATATGACTTTCTGAGGTTAGGTTCTGGTCGTTGAAAATTTTGAGAGTCTGTTTTAGGCCTGGTAGAACTTTTCTGGAAGTTTCCGGCTCTCCGCGACTAATTAACCTAAGTAACCCTCGCCCCTCAAATTAAAAAACTGAGCGATAAATTCAGTACGTCTAATCTAATCACGCAAAAACTGACCTCTCAATACCCTTTACGAGGCACTAGTTAATTGAAATAAGTCATTGTCCCTAATATACTCAGCTCTTAGACCCTAAAGTTGCCAAATTATTTTGACAGAAATCTGTGTTGCTAGTACTTATGCTTAAGTACGTGCTTTACGGGTTGATGTAAACTTCTTGAACAACGTTTCCCTTTGGCCAGAAAACTTCGCAATTGCCTTTAATGCACTGCACAATTTCCGTTGCTTTCCTTTCACCAGTGAAGTATGCTCCCTGCGCAAAGCCCCACCAGTCGAAATCAAAAGAGTCACCGGCGAAAAAAAGCTTACCAAGCTTTCCTGCCAAGTTATGAAAATCCGCTTTGGTGGTACCGACTTCAGCGTTTGAATAAGATCCACGAGTGAACGGGTTTTTAGACCATCTGCTATAGAATATACCTGGATTGGAAGATAAAAAGACATCATAACTCTATTATGATAGGGCGAGGGATACTAAACAATTATTAGATGAGGTTTTTGTGATATCCAGAATAATCAAGGTCGAGGTAGGGGTTATCAGCCGAAGCCGAAGGCTGAGGCTGATAACCGTTAC